CAGTGAATGTAGAAGTTTAACAGGGGTGGGAGAATTAAACCCTTATTGAAGATCTTCAATGAATGTAGAAGTTTGACGGGGGTGGGAGAATTAAACCCTTATTGAAGATCGTCAATGAATGTAGAAGTTTAGCGTGGGTGGGAGAATTAAACCCTTATTGAAGATCTTCAATGAATGTAGAAGTTTGACGGGGGTGGGAGAATTAAGCCCTTTTTGAAGATCTGCAATGAAAGTTGTTTTTTTTTTAATTTCTGGGAGTCTAATATTTCCTAATACCGTTGGAAATCTTCCCAATTGAATGTAAAGTTTAACGGGGGTGGGATTGTAATATTCCCTAATACCTTTGTTGATCTTCCCAATTGAATGTAGAGTTAAAACCGGGGTGGGATTTTAGTATTTCCTAATACCTTTGTTGATCTTCCCAATGGAATGCAGAGTGGCAACAACATTTGAGGACCCTCTACGCAAAGTCCAGGCGTTGCACGTATATCTATATCTATATATATATATATTTGTAAATATTAAATAGTGTATATAGTTTTTAATTTATATATATATATATATATATTGATACAGTAATAATGGTAGTGAACATAATAATAATCAATACTACTAATAATAATAGTAATAATAAAAATGGAAAAATAATACTGATAAAAATAATAAAAATAATAATGATGATAATAAAAACATTATATATAATAAATGACACATATTCATATTACAGTAAACTAATGCAAGCATACAAAAATGATGTGCGCTTGCCCGCTTCCATCTCCATTCTTCCCGTATCTTCCCGTCCTCGGCCGCCTTCAAGATGTTCATGGGATTGTCCCAGGCATCCTGTCCTTCCTTGGCCCCCTCCAAGCCCTTCAAGGCCGCATGTCCCGCAGCATTGCTGACGTTTGGGTCTGCCTTGGCGTCCAAAAGCAGCTTGGACTGGAAGTACATGTCATACTCCACCTGAAAAAAAAGGAAAATCTCAGGGTACAAACCTGGAACCCGGAAACACCCGCCTTGTGGCCTCCAAATTTCGGGATCTAACCTGTGCGATTTTCAAAGGTTTTCACTAGTCTGGGATGCTCAATCAAAATGGGTGAAAGTCAAATGGCACACATCGGCACCTATCATCTGATTTTCTTGATGTAAAACTATTTTTGGGGGCGCGAAACAAATGTAATTAATCATCCAATTTTGAGATATGTTTAGGGTTGAAAGTATAAGAACTCCATGAATCATCGTGAATCATGTGACTCCTCCCAAATTTGAGGGTTGAACATCTAAAAACAACAGAAAAACATCTTCCAACAATCAACAAGGCCACACTCATATGAAGCGCCGTCTGACCATTGAAGTTCTGAGCACTTGGATCTGCTTTCTGCTCCAAGATATACTTTGTCAATGGCATGTGCCCATTTTGCGCCGAGATGTGCAAGGCGCGGTTGCCGTTCTGTGCATCCACCGCGGCCAGAGCGTCTTTCATGGTCGCACCGCTCTGCCAGTCTTTGATCATATCCTCGATCTCGCTGACCGGTTTACCCCAGCGGAAGGCCGAATGCACCTACGGGCGGTGGGGACAAGCGGATGCCATGCTGCAGCGGCTGTTGCAAACATCGTTTTCCCTACACACACACACTGTCACACACATGATCTATATGTAAAATAGACCTCAATGACATTCATGTTGCATTTTCAAGGTCATAATTTTTGGCATCCCCATTAACATCCATTAACCTTCTACAAACCTGGTCTTCTGGGGTTCATGTTCGAAAAACCCGAGGCATTTGGCCTGTTTGATGTGCTTCTCCTCTAAGGTCTTCGCCTCCTCGGCGGCCTCCGCGACGGGTTCCGACAAATTGTTGGCGCTCTCCAGCTTTGACAGGGACTCATCCAACTCCTGCATAGTCGACGAGAAGGATTTGCAAAAAAACTGTTTTTTTTCTGGTTAACCCCCAAACTTTTTTTGTGCTAGATTCCCACTTAATTATTGGAGGCTTTTTTGGTTGGTTACATCATAAAGATTCATCAAACACCAGGAGAATTAACTAAATATATTCAAAGTCTCCCAATTTTTTTGGTACATTTCTTAATCCATCCATAGGGCGTCAATACCTCAAATCACCTCATTTTTTTTTATGAATGCGCTCCTTGACCGAAGCATCCGCCTTGGGTGCGTCGCTTTTGGAGCAGCTGCTCAGCAGACCCGTCACGCGCTCGCGCTGGTCAGAGGGCCAGGCTGAGAAGAACTGGAGAATTTCCTGCGACCAGTCAGGTCAGAATATAATGGGAATGTAGTGGAAAGATAATGGATTATAATGGATCATAGGGGGATATATCACCTACAACTGATGATTATTTCACTGGCTCACATATACGGGAAATACAATGGAAATGGAATGGCTTCCATAATGGAAACATAAGGGGTTATAGCGGGATATATGAATATCTAACCTACAACTGATGATTTACAAGGGGAGGCACCCCAAACGACCAAATCGCTAAATTGACGCACATGATTAGGGGGTAATATAACAAACAAATACTCATGGGTTTATAAACCAACAAACATAAGAGTATCACCGCACACGTCGTGGTTGGCGGTATTTTGACCTTGGCCCAAGCACGAAAGTCACTGTGCATCATCCATGATCATCCCGCAAATCAACAATAGTGTGACTGAAACCACCAGAAATGATGGATTCTAAATCCTTTCGGAAATTATCTTCACATTTACCTGATCTGTGTTCATCAGTCAACCAAAAGATATGTTTAGGGTCAATATGATGGATCTTCGAAACCACGGAGCCAGTTTCATTGGCTACACGGGTGTCTTTTGCCTGGCGATATGCCTGTGATTTGTTGCTGGAATTCCCATCGTGGGGCAATACGAAGCCACTCACCAAACCCAGAAAACCCAACCAAATACGAAGGTGGAACACCCACTAAACCATACCCAACTGTCGAATTCTTACCATTTGGCTCTTAAAATCACATTGTCATACCACAGTAGAAAAACAATCAAAAAAACGATCAAAGTTGCTGAGTTTACCTGATCAAAGGCTAAAGTATAAGTATATGTATAAGTCATAGGAAACAACCTATATACCTTGCTTAATTATATTTAATCATATTGATTTATTCGATTTCATTATATAGTATACGTAATAGTAATTGTGGATAATTCTGGAACACTGCAGCCAGCCATTATCTCTCCTCATCAGAAGCATCCTGCACCGCGACACAAACGCCCTTGCAGGCGCCCGAACCCATGGCCCCGAAGGCCCGAGGCTCGACGAGCTGAAAAGCCGAAATGATTCTGGTGGGAAAAGTGAACCAACATGAACTCAATGGATTTCTAAAGAACCAATAGAGGATATTGAGCTACTGTACCAGAAAAAAACATAATATTGTTGGTCTCCTCTTCCACCCTTACATCATACATAGACCTTACATATGCTAGGTATCTCCCTGAAATGGCCATGAACCGGAATTCCTTGTCCCAGGGTATCGTAATTTTTCATCAAATGCAATCGAGACAAGAATATAATTCACAGCCATGAACAGCAGTTTTAGCGCCAAATTGTGAATCACAAACATCCACAGTCACAATGACTCTTCCAATGCCAAGGGCCAGCGTCACATTGATTCTGCCATTAGAATCCTGTCAAATCTATGAAAAAAATACTAAAATCCATTAAAATCAATTAATAATCCACTAGAATCCACTTCTCCCCCAAGTGGTTCTATGGCTCCCAAATCTCCAGCCACGACCACTCAGAGGTCACGACAATAGCAAGATCCTCACGCAGAATGGACAGATCTTCCATCGACCTGACATGGGACGACCAAGCGGCACCAACAAAAACTCACGTCTATATATATATATATGTATATATATAAGTAATCATATATAATTCCCCACCTGCCAGGTGAGGGTTGTTAGATTTTATCAGAGCGCATGTCCTCCTCGACTAGCTGTCCTCCTCGTCCTCCTCGTCCTCGTCCTCCTCGACCATGTCTGCAGCAAGCTCTTTGCCAACTTCCCAACTCAGTGTGCACCGCTGGACCTCAACCTGGGACCTTCCGAGCTCAGTGTGCACCGCTGGACCTCAACCTGGGACCTTCCCAGCTCAGTGTGCACCGCTGGACCTCAACCTGGGACCTGCCCAGCTCAGTGTGCACCGCTGGACCTCAACCTGGGACCTGCCCAGCTCAGTGTGCACCGCTGGACCTCAACCGGGGACCTGCCCAGCTCAGTGTGCACCGCTGGACCTCAACCTGGGACCTGCCCAGCTCAGTGTGCACCGCTGGACCTCAACGGCCAGATAGAATGCCAGAAGATATACCAGATAGAATGCCAGAAGATATACCGGATAGAATGCCAGAAGATATGCCAGATAGAATGCCAGAAGATTTGCCAGATAGAATGCCAGAAGATATGCCAGAAGATATGCCAGAACATATGCCAGAAGATATGCCAGATAGAATGCCAGATAGAATGCCAGAAGATATGTCAGATTGAATGCCAGAAGATTTGCCAGTAAGAAAATGTATAAATGTCATGGTGGGGATCACACGAAGTAAAGTAATTGTTTTGCTATCCCCAATTGAGGTTGATTGATTGATTGATTGATTGATTGATTGATTGATTGATTGATTGATTGATTGATTGATTGATTGATTGATTGATTGATTGATTGATTGATTGATTGATGATTTAATTCATTGATTGATTAATAGGGCCTACTATGATTGGGATGATGTAAAACTTAAGAATGTTTGATGTCCCAAGATCTCCCTCGTGACTCCAGTAGGCCTGCGCAAGTTTCCTTGCAATTTGCTGTACTCTTGGGAATAGCTCAGCAAATCATCCTGAGACATGCAAGGTGACATTGGAGCGATGTTTACTGTGTAAAATCTATGACGTAAAAAAAACTACAAACTTGTACAGTAATATTCACTAATTCTATGTAATTTTCACTCTCATTGATACAGTCTCACCATCCACATGAGTTATTGGCCTGTACGTACTTACTTTACTTTACTTTGTTTTACTTTACTTACTTTCTTGTATACTTGCTTACTTTACTTTGCTTTGCTTTACTTTATTTTACAATGGTTTACTTACTGGCTTACTGGCTTGCTTGCTTGCTTTCTTGCTTACTTTACGTACTTACCTAAATACTTACTTACTTACTTACTTACTTACTGACTGACTTACTTACTTACTTACTTAGTTACTTCCTTACTTACTTGTCCGTTTGCTTGCTTACTTTACTTACTTACTTGTTTACTTATTTACATAGTTACATGCTTACTTACTTGTTTACTTACTTGCTGACTTAATAACAATCATGATACACACATATAAATATATACATATGAAATATAATAAACATTTAAATGGCATTATACATATCATTGGTATTCCATCACTGCCACTATCTCACCAGATTTCCAAGCCTTTTTCGCTCCGGCTCTAAGCTTCGCGCTCGGTCCCTGGCGATCTTCTCTCGGTATCGCAGCTCCCGATCCTGGGGAATCAATCCACAAGGTTAGAGTACCATTCATGTCTTTCCCTCCTAAGGGTTGCCATCAGTCACTATAAACGATATATGATATATATATATATATATGTGAGCATATTATATTTTGCAATAAATACAATATATAATGTAGTCTACATAGTCTACATGGATGGGAATCTGGAATCGTTCTAACGACCGATGGACCATTTTGGAATTCAAGCCACGCATCAGGTAGATTTGTGGAGGCAAAGCACGTTCATAAAATATGGTGGTAAATTACAGTCCGTTTTTATGAATCAATGAATCAATTACAATGGGCTATAATATTCTGTAATGGGTTATAATGATGAATCATTCGCTGCAACCTGTTTTGTCCGTCAATAATCATTCTATGAATAAACCTTAATGGGCTATATCATCATAAATCATCTATATAATGGATATCTCTGCAAAAAAACACATAGAAGCTCGCGTCCTGAAAGCCTTGCATGATCAACTCCGTCCGATGGAGCACTTCATCAGCAGCCTGAAACGCATCGCAATGTCGATCTCTCTGAACTCATCACAGAATTGGTGGTTTCCTAAGTCATGGGGGTACCCCCAAATCATCCATTTTAACATATTTCAATATATTTCAATATATTTTACTGTAATGGGATTCTGCATATAAGACAAACCACCTATTTTGGGATACCCCCATTTATGGAAACCCCCAATTGGTGTGAACCAGCGAGTAGGCTGTTTAAGACTAAAGTGACCTTGTTAAACCCTTACAATTCAATCTTGGCATGTTTATAACTTACCATTACTTTCCACGACTTTCTAACCCCCAAGACTCAGTTTTCACCATCAAATTGTGAAAATATCACACAATTATACTTACCATGTGCTACAGTAACCAGCAAATCATTCAACTTGTACAGCTTGTGCTGTGCATATCAACTCATTCACGATGGATCCATCAGCGTGGGAATACAGCTCAGAATGGCAGGGTGATGAGCATGACTAGCCAAAATCATCCAAAATCATCCCAGATCTAGGTCTCAACACATTTTAAGTTTTGACACAAGCCCTTTTCAAGAGGCTTAACTTGTTCGTCGGATTAACGGCACATGGTTGTTTGAAAATCATGTCACTGCATGTAAACATCTGAGGAGTTGGGGCTCCTATGTTCTTTGGCCTATCCCTTGCATTACAGTTGACGATAGTAAATGCATATAAAATGGAATTTCGGCACGCTGCACTTCCTGCTTTTGTCCGCTGTCTAGGGCAAAAACATCATCGTTGGACCACCTACGACGTGAAACCGTTGTGCGGTCGCTTGCACTCATTATTGCTGCATATTTTACAGCAGTTGAGAATAGGTTCATGCACATGTGCACAAATTCACACTTCGAAACTGCACGTTTCCAGTTGGAAGACTGGCTCAACATTTCACACGACTTGCCGAGTAAGGAATCTTCATTGACTCATGGAAGTCTTCAATCGTTTCTTCCTCTTCAGAATGTAGCAATCCACCTGGGCACCAGAGCAGCAATTTTTTTCGCAAGCCAGAGGATGGATGAGCTAGCGGGATGGTGTCCATGTCCATGGCCAAATCAAAAAGATACCATGTCGGACCAAAATATCGCAGTCTTTGGCTGCTTAGTTTATCACCATTTTTACAATGAAGATGTCATAATAGGGCTTACCCAGAAGCCTGGTCTCTTGTATCGCAGGCTTCCGATTTTGTTCGACTTGTCCCAAGTGTTGCTGAGATCAGCTGGATCATGCTGGATCCCAAATATGGTCTCATTCTGCGAAAAATATGATCATAATTTGGCTTCCAAAATGAAGACATGTAAAAAATACATTTCTCTCAGCAGCATGTGGGTTTGTTTGAAAATAGTGCACATCCAAAAATTGCATCATTAATGAGAATCATCACGTGTGCCCTCAAACATTGTCATTTTTAATCTCTTGGTATCCCTAAAAGAAACATCATAACACACCAAGTTCAAATCCCAACTTCGTTGTCAAATCTCTAAGCCCCAAGCTCATTTCCAGCCGTCGAATACGGGCGGAGAATTCAATTTGAATCTCTTCAACCGCATTTCCTGATCCTTCTTCGCAGTCATCACACCGTACCTGGCACGGCTCAAGATTCACTCTTTGAACTCATAGATCACGCAGTGATTTTCTCAATCCTTCCCTCTATGAAAGTTTACCCTCTGGTTATTTAACATAGCCATGGTATAGATGGCCCATTTGTAGATGATTTACCTATTAATAGCATGGTGATTTTCCATGGCTATGTTAGTCATAGCCAGATGGTACAGCCTTTTTAATCTTTAATTCGTGCCCTTCAAATGGATCGAAGTCAGGCTTCTTTTTCGGGGCCCTTGGAGAGGGGGAATCACAGCAGTCCGCACCTTACGAATCTCGAACATGGCACCTGACCGAGGACGAAGCCGAGAAACCCATCGAAATACGCGAATTATTTCGAGATGTTTAGGGCCAACAAAAACATACCAAAAACATAACAAAACCATCAAAAACCATCAAAAAAACACATGTTTTTTCCGGTTCAAACCGTGACCAACGGCCCCTTTTTTTTTCGCACGGCTTCGACGGCTGAGGCTTCGACGAATGATCCTGGGCACATTCCAGCCCCTTGCAGCCGCAAAGCCTCACTGGTGGTACCCAAACGGTACCCTAAAATCGTTGGATGGTCCTTCCCCCAGTATGGTAATTTCATAGCTAACTTGACCCATCCTACATGAATCATAAGAGTCAAATGAGGACTAGTTGAGTAATACTTCATCAATTGAATTACAATTATCAGACAGGGAACAATTACTGTTTCATTGTGGTATGGAACCATAAGTCAATAATGAAATAGTAATTGTAGATAGTAATTACTAATAATCATTCAAACAGCAACTATTAACTGTTAGTACTATTCCTATTATTAATGGGTCTAGAACAGTGAATTCTGATTGATAAATAATGAACTAGTAATTATGGGTCCCTCACTATGGGTCACTAATCAATGATAATTATGACAACACAATCCGTAATTATGGTTCATTGATCACTAATTATCGTAATGATGTGGCGATACTAATGAGATACAATATGATACAATGATATACAATGCATATATAAATCACCAAAATAAAGTCCCAACCGAAACTTAGAACCCAAGCTCATTTTGACCTTCCAGTTCACAAGAATCCGGGTTTCAACCCCTCCGGCCCTCCAAATATCATCGCTCAGCCGCCCGTGACAGGAATGGCAAGCCCAGCACAAAGGCATAGGATTATCACGTGCGTGTTTGGTCCTTTCCTGTGTGGAGGAGCCAGTATTCGCAACCTCGCGACAGCTTGCGACGACGTGAACAATTATCATCCAGCTTCTTGGAGATTTTGTTCGGGAAACCTATGGTTTGGGTTCCGATTATGAGAAACACTCCAAATGTGAGACCAACTTTGCTGCGAAATTCTTAGGTCAAGGATGGTAAGTTTGTTTTCTGTCAAGTCCATGGGTAGTCCATAAAATGCCCAAGGCCGCCAATTTCAGCAGTTTTCAAAAGTCCCGGCCTGCCACTGTCGAGACGCACCGTATCGGGGAAGGCATCAAGCAGCATGTCTTGCATCAGTAGTCCCAGCTTGGAACCAACTTCCTACGGACAATGAGAAGGTGTCAAATGACCACTGAGCAGCTGATTCATCTGCAACAAACATCCTATGTAATTATTCCTCTCTATTCAGTTGGTTATTAATGATCCATTCCCATTAAATCCACGTAAAATTGTTGGTTGACAGGATACAAATCCCATATATCAACCAGTTGACCGTTTGACCCCAAAATGATTGGATCGTACATCTTATCACCATTAGGGTTTGTCTGAAAATGGGCTAAACCTTCACGAAAATGGCCTATCAATGGGGTTACTATTCTTACCCATTTTGCCAAATATCATAATTAATGGGTTGATTAACATTGATTAACCATTATTAATTAACCATTATTAATGGTTAACCATAATTAACCAATATCTTACCCATATTAAATGGGGTGTATTTGATCATACTACCCATACTAAACACAGAATCCAAACCGTTGGATTTGGGGATCCCCCCCCCCCGTGATCCCCAGGGGGGCACGATTGGTACATGATATCATCAGATCTCAACATCCTTGGGGACGTCTATGGTTTTGATCTATTGTGGTTTTAGTTTACATTTATGATGAGGTAATCCTGCAACTCACGGATGCGGGGGTTGAATAATTTGTCCATCTACTGTATCATATTCAGAAACCAAGTTATCAGATTCAATGAATAGAGATTATATGTATATGTATATATACAATTTTTACTATAAACCATGCATTTTGGAAAATCCCTATTTATGGAAATCCCGTCTCATAAATTCTCATAACTCATATCTCTGCCATCATTAAGCCATCAACATAAACACTGTCTCCCCACTGCCGTGCCGTGTCCTGCCATGCTTTCGCTTTCCAATGCTCTTCCAGGACAAACAGCGACGAGGCGGCTGCACTCAAGGTCCTCTCCTGGGAAAACATGGGGTCAACAATGGGATCATCATCAATAGTCAATCATAACATAGTCAATATAATAATAATCAAACAATAATTAAAAAACATGAATATATAATTTTCAACAATACTAGTCAATCACCAGAATCATAGTCAATATATATATATATATTTATTTATTAATAAGCAATTATAATGATAGTAATACTACTCATATAAAATCATAGTTGCTAATAATATTGATAATAATAGTCGATCCATAATCGTCAATAATAGTTTATCACAATCCCATAATTATATATACAGTTATATACACAATCAATGGGATCGTAATAAAATAATCAACCCATACTAACATATACTGCAATCACAATAACGATCCCATAATCACGGGATTATAAGAATAGTCATAAACAAAAACAACAATAATAATCAACAAGTGCAGTCAGTCATGATTAGTCTGATATCCCACCGTTTTTAGTAATAATATGTAATAATATTGGTATCGACAATAATAGTAGATAATATGTATATATTATATATATATGTATTTAGAAATACTGATCACCAACAATAACAATAATGATCAGTAATGGTCATACACCCTAGAGCCATGCCACGCATAGCCAGCTGAACATGATGGGATAATTAACATTTCTGAAATCACCGTCATGTGACTTTACAGGACCCTCATAACCCAACGCGGCTTGGAAGGGCTACCTATCGTCGGCGTCCCACTTGGCAGGGTTTCTCACTGAGGATGTGGCGGGTGGAGACTTGAAGACGCTTAGGGACTGCTGGAACATGTGCTGCTGCCTCCCTTGCCTGAAAAATCAGTGGAGTGGATGCCGATGGGCTGTCTTTGGATACTTTCAGACCTAGCAATGGCTCAGAACATCACAAACCTACATTACAAAGCTAATTAATTATTCATCATATGTTCACTTCTGAATAGTCCCAAAAAAAACCTTGGGCTATTAATGAGATTTAGATAGTTGTTGCTAAACCCATCATCTATTTCTACATTGCCTAACAAAAATACCATACATGGCATCATTTCTCCGTCGCCCTGAGGCGCTGACAATCCACAGCCGTCCAGGATGCGAGGGAGTTGCTGCAGGATCTGGCCCAAATGAGCCTTTTTTGGACCGTTGGACTTTACTGCTGCAAAGCGGCAACAGGGGTAAACGTACCTATAAAGAATCTATAAAATATCTATAAAATATATGCATCTATATATATATATATAAAATATCACCATCCCTTTTTTTCTGCTTCCATCTTCTGCTGGGCCATCCATTGGCTGCCACATTCCTGGGCTGCTGACCAGTTGTTGGACTTCCCGATTTCGCACTTTCGCATCAGGCGTCGAAAAACCTCGACAAACCGGGTCAAAAAAACCGATGTGAAAAAACCCATGGCTTTCCTTAGGAACATGATCTACATGATCTACAAATGCTGAGTTTTCCACATGTGAATTTGCAGGAGGGCAACTATAGCTCCAGTTCTGATATCTTCAATTCTTGCCTTTTCATGGCATCAAAACACCATTTCCAGGGCTTTTCCAGCACCTTTTCAATTTGTTTCACGAAAGCAATTGTTCTATACTCACATTATACGCATGTAAAATCCATCAAATCATTACATGTTCCCAAGTTCATTTTCTCCCGTCATAAATGGCAACACTTGATTTCAACCATTACCACACATAATTATCAATACATTACCATCATATCATGTACCATATATTTTCACTCATATATAATGATAGAATTCATTAGACATCCACATTTCGATCGATTTCCCCGTGGTCAGTTACTTGTACTTGGGGTGCACTTCCAATAATAAGTGGCTTATATAACCAGCACTGGGGATTCCCCCAATCCCATTCCCATCATGATTCCAGTGACGTCACGTGACGTGAGGTCACGTCACATAATTCATCCAGATTCAGAAATTCATCAACAAACTATATGTTCATAGTCATAGTCATATCATAATTATCCCAATCATAGACCCTAGTTCTTGGAGTTACGTTCACCTACTTACACTCTGGTAAACGTTTACATAACTATGGCAAATCACAATTTTCTAGCTGGGTAAATCCACTACATTTCAATGGCCATGTTCACTAGCTTTTTGTATGTTTACCAGAGGGTATCCAGCTTTTGGTGGCCCCTATGAGGCCAGAAGATGTCAAGGCCCCGGCTCCAAAGTTGATGCTTTCGCGCGGCGCTTCGGAGCACCGCTCCGATGGATTGCCAAAGGGCCTACCGAAATCCACCGAACACCGAAATCCCATCCACTGGAACTATGGAAAGATCCACCACTTTTAATAGGTAAACCAACTATCAATGGCTCATGATGCTCATGTTCACTAGCGAACTGTTAGACTGCTAGAGAGTATATGGATAGATGATGGTGATGATGATGGTTATTTTTGATGATGATGATGATGATGATGGTGATGATGATGATGAGGATCGATGATGATGATGATGATGGTGATGATGATGATGATGGTGATGATGATGATGATGACGATGACGATGACGATGAGGATGAGGATGAGGATGAGGATGAGGATGATGATGATGATGATGATGATGATGACGATGACGATGACGATGACGATGAGGATGATGATGATGATGATGATGAGGATGAGGATGATGATGATAATCACGATGACGATGACGATGACGATGATGATGATGATGATGGTGATGATCATGATGATGATGATGACGATGACGATGACGATGACGATGATGATGATGATGATGACGATGACGATGCAAATGGCGATGACGATGACGATGATGATGATGATGATGGTGATGATGATGATGATGATGATGATGATGGCGACGATGACGATGACGATGACGATGATGATGATGACGATGATGACGACGATGACGACGATGACGATGACGATGACGATGATGATGATGACGATGATGATGCTTGCCATGATGATTGCCATTATGATTGCCATGATGATTGCCATGAATTGTTTTATGGTGGTAAAAACTATTCATGAATTTAAACTACTGCATTGGTAATATCTAAAAAACAAAACTATTCATGAATATACATTAATAGGCGTGAATTCAAGAAGTTTATATTAATTGATATTCAGTGATACTGAATTATCATTCATTAAAATGCATTATGATCAGCACCAACCATCTTGATCATAACCATCATAATAATAATCATCATCGTCGTCATTGTCATTGTAATCAGCATCATTACCTGTTCATGATCACCATCATGATGAGAACAAAAATACCCGTGCCAAAATCAAACGGATAGACGGATCATGACGGAAAAAAAAAGCGTGTTCAGCTCACATTTTTTTTGGCGCCTGCAGTTCGTTCATCTCTGCAATACAGGTGTTGAACAGCAAAGGATCCTCCCACAGAAACTCCTTAGTTTCGCCGTTTCGTTTTTGCGTTGGAAAATGGCGAGCGTGCAAATGGACCAATCCGCCATCTATGATATCTGAGGCAATTCCAGCAGTTCCATGAATCATGGAATGAACTTGAACTTATGTTCTTTTGAAAAACCTGGGATCTGCAACAAGCCTAGATTTGCAAGCCACAGTAGATTAACAGAGGGTAAGCCCCTGACAGATGCTCGACCTTGAGATCCAGAACCTCGACCGAAGAAGCTTTGCAACAGCGCTGTAGTTACCTGTGGACGAGCTGCGTGAAACTTGGAATGTGGGGCAACATACTGCGCAGCATGCAGGGATTTCAACATCTCCTAACTGAAGATATCCAACAAAAATCAAAAAAACATGTTCTAGTCAATTGGCATCATCATACCAAATATTTGAAACCATCCTGCAAGTTGTTGTATTTCTACGCTCAATTGAGGATGCAGGAAGGCCTGCAAAATGGGCCTCAATCAATTTGGGGCCGGAAAGGGAGAAATATCCTGAACAACCACCAAAAAATAGTTGTTTGCCCCTCACGCTCTCTAAATTTGCAAACATAAGTTTCATATGAATGCATTTCCTGTAGGGCCCTCAGCTTCTCATTGGCTGGTTCGCATCTTCACACGTCGTTGCTTCAGATGCTCATATTTGTGTATATGGATCACAACTACAACGCCTTGCTGACATCAAAATCATCAAAAAACAGTTGGCAAAAAGAATAAAAATCTTCAAATGCGATAGCCAAACTAACATGTTTGGGTCATCAATGGTTACATCATTTCTGGAGGATTTTCCCCACAGGTTTTCCGCACGTATTCCCCGCGTTTTTTTTCCATCAAACAGGCCTTCAACACGATGGCCACCTCAACGAGGCCCGTTGATCCGGAGCTACCCGTTCTGTCCGGTCGCAGGGATTGCTGGGAGTCCTGGCGCCGGAAGATGCCTGGGATGAGTTCTGGGTAGGCTTGTTATCATTTTTTGACATATAGAAGCAATGTTGTTTTTGACATATATCATCCTAATTGGATTTAGATTTTGCGAACTAATGTGCCATGGCGCCACCAGTTCGCAGGGTGTCAGATTTCCATAGGCTATTCTTAACCCATTTAAACCTCTATTTAATGATTTGTAGACATTTAAAGATGCTTTTTCATGATTTGTCCATATTTTCCTTCAAAACCTCCGTTGTTCATGGGGTTTGCCATTACCATTGCGCATGTTTTCCGCAAGGAAAAAACTGACATACCGCGCCAGAGCCTCGCGCGGGGACGCATCATCTAGGGCCTTGGTTGGACATTGTTAGACAATTTTATTGACATAAGATGTATATGAAAAATATAATATATTATTGTACGATATGTATGTATAATATAATAGATGTATACATAAAAGTAATATATTATATAATATTATATATACATATACATACTGTATTGCTAATTCTATACGTTACATGCGTAACACATGCATATCTATAGTAATCTATGTCTATGGCTGCATTACCATACCCTTAATAACCATGACAGTAAAAGAGGTGCAAATGATCTGTATGGTACTAGATTCATATGGTACTGGATTCATTATAGTTAATTCCTATGGTTACACTATCATCATGATCATCATGATAGATTTATGCAACCGCATTCATAGATTATATGGCTTAGTCAGGAATTTGTTACTCCCAATTCCAGTGGATTGTTATATATTATCATATATTATATTATATTATCATCATTTTCCCTATTAAAATGCCCAAATTGGGGGACCTTGCCCTATCTTCAGACAAACCCATATATATATATATACCCGCTGGCAATTTAACATAATAATTAGCTATTGAAAATTGCCATTTATAGTTGATTTATCAAAAAGGGGGATGTTCCAATTCGCAAAGTGTTAGTTTTCCACAGAAACACCATGTTTTTCCAAATGCCGCCAGATCCGCTGAATCCAAGATACACGTCGCCAAATCTGTCCAAGGTCACGTCCGAAGGAGGCGTACTCCTCTGACACAATCCGCCATGGCCACCGACCCAAAAAGGGCTGTGGCTGGAACTTTGGTGAAACAAAAAAGGCCAGAAAAAATTGACATTCAATCATTCAACTTCCTTTCAATACTGGGAACATTTGATGGAACTTAAATACGATTTCACAACTCTGAAATACCGACAATGTCGAACAGGTTTCAGTTGTACAAAAGCCGAAAGACACCCAATTTGGATCTTCGATGATTTTCATCGCAGTTTCCGCCTCCAACTTGAAATCCTGGCAGGCAACATCCTCGGCTCAGGGCTTTCCACAAGGATTCCATCCACGGATGCGCCTGGTGGAACGGTTACCGTAACGCTTACGTACCACTGAAAGCTCCAAGGCATCCAGGACTTGGAGGCCAGACCAAATCATCCTGAATCTCCAGCAGCTGTAGCATAAGTCGCCCATCTTGTTCCTGCCTGAAGGCTGTCAGGAAAGCGCTTGGTTTCTATAAGAAAAGGATAAAAAAGAACGCCAGTTCATGGTGATTCAATCCTATTCAATCCTATTTACTTGCGCTTCAACTGGATGTTCCTGGCAAGTCTCTTTGAAATTGTGAACCAGTCTCCTATAAATCGTAAACTGCTGGGAATTTGCGAATTTGGCTCAAAGTTGGAAAGAAAATAGGGAAAGACAAAACTGTGACTCCATCTGCCAATGGGTCAAACTTGGGTACAGTTTTCCCCAAAAAAAGTTGGATGATGAGAACAACTGCCCAGTTCATCATCATGTTCATCCACAGATATAAGATTTTGACCCATACCTGACTTGGGCTGGCACAACATGAGCAAAGCGTCGCTTGCTTGCCTTGGTCGCTTGGACACGGCGCCGTAAAACGTGGTTGTTCTTCACTAGGAGTTGCAACAAACGAAGTACAAGCGCCACAACGAGAGCTGGACAAAGAGCGTGGTTTTCTCCTATACCGCAAGAATACTGCAGTTTAAACCGTTATGTTCTGAATTTCTTAAATCCACATTTCTGGGCACATCCATCTCAATATTGCTGGCTGTATTATATATTATATAATATCCAAATATATCTCCGTAAATTGGTGGTTTCCGTTGAATCCCAGTTCTCGCTACTTAAATCTGCTCAAGAACATCCCCATTTGGATGCTTCCTACACTTGGGGTCCACAAAATGCCAACATGGTTTCCCCTCAAATCACTTATATATATAATTAAAAAAAGTTGGCATTGAATCTTGTTTTTTTTGCACATGTTTGCTCGAGAACTCTGCCTCAAACATCCCCATCATTCCACAAAAAATCACCCCTCATCAAGGTGCCGTAGTCTCAGCAGGGCATGATGCGGAAGGCACAGCGATGCGACGCTGCCCTGGACGAGTTGATTCCCCAAATAGAGTCATAGCTGCCATTAAAAAAAAAAAACGATGGAAACAAAACCTTACTGGTGCTAAACGCAGGGAATTTTCGGGTATGATCCAAACTATCAATAATCATCCCAGCAACCCCCATTCCTTTCCATTCCCTACTGAGCAGCAGTTCGAAAACCCCAATGAAGCTGACTGACCTCCAGCTCGATCAAGGCCTGAAGGCTTCCAACCTGATGGCCAGTGTCTCACCAGAACATTCCAAAAACCAATCCGCCAGACACTAGAATCACATTTATACATAATTACTATATAATAATATATAATATATATATATATATCATTCTATTTCCATGTTCAAATCCAAAAAAAATAGAGGGATATCTAATGACATATATATGACATATATAATACCCTCTGGTAATTTAACATAGCCATGGAAAATCACCATTTTTAATGGGTAAATCCACTATAAATTGCAATTTTCAATAGCTATGTTAGTTTACCAGAGGGTATCTCTTGAATCTCAGAAAAAAGCCCAGTGATCCAATGACCTCAACTCCATTCAACTCCCAGGCTGCACAGCCAAGCTGGCCAATGTCTCCGAGCTCAAAGACCTGACACGCTGCGAGGGATGTGGACAATTCATATGTTTTAATACGGTTTAAGGTTAATAAACACCATGTTTTTTTTTTACGAGGCTTTTATATCTTTTATATGTTTCTAAAATGTGTCTTCCTTGTTTCAAGAAATTTCGGTGAAGCATTGGAATTTAAGGATGTTTTTTTACGGGGTACCCTGTTTGGGACAAAGCTATGTATAGTGTAGAGATATGTACAGATGCGTCCCCCAACAAACATGCAAATGATCACAACAGCTCTTCGTGCCTGTATCATTCTACTGCGGCTACTGCACAGGTTGAGTTAGTCCCCACATTACATATCGTAATCCCATGTAATCCCTGTAATGATACAGTGCCCACAATGAACGAACCATCAGTCGCAGCAGAAATCTCCGATCATTTCCATAGGGGTTTTAACCACCAAAAGAATTGGCTCAACTCGTCCACTTCTTGGGCAACTTGAGCAATTTGAGCATCCGACTTTCGCTTGACCCCAGCCTTCACCTAGGGGAAAATGCGGATTTGGGGATGGTTTATGGCACTTATTGATGGTGATGACTTGGGGATGGTTTATGGCATTGGCTTTACCACATTACGGAATTATGATAATCAGTTAGAATCCCCCAATAGATCTATTGGATTATTGGGTAGTATATAATCTATATATATAATCCCGCGGTAATTTATAATCACTAACCAGCAGGGTTTTTGAACACTGCTCAATATGATTCCAACTTTTATTCGTGATGACTGGATGGTTACAGGAAAAAATCATAAACTATCTTACAATCAACAATTTTGGATGGTCCAAAATGAGCTTTTGCAAAAAAGCCATACGTTGCCGTTGCTCCAATCTGCACCATCAATCCCAAGCATTATCCAAATCCCAAACAGCGCTGGCCTTGGTACCAAAACCCGCATCGTGCAACCTCAGATGTCAAAGGCAGGATTTGTGTTGTTTCAAACCACCAAGAACATCCAAGAAGCATACTTTGGGGTCCCCAAAGATCGTTTAAAGTGATAACACTTCTGATTTCCCATGATTTTGATGGTGTTAGTCTACCGATACTATGCCCATCACCAGTAAAAATCGATCAAGCCGGATCGAAAACCCCAGACAGCATAGACAGCTAAGCTGGCTTATAACTTGAACTTGGGTTTATAGGGGGTATAACTTAAACTACCCGACGTACCGGAAACCGCGCGTGGCGGCGTGGTCGGTTACAAGATGTATGACAGAAAGCCTCTCCACTGTGAGGTTTCGGCACACTTGGATTGTTGCGCTTGCTTGAATCTGGTGTCTATTACCATCTGGTTATGACTAACAGTTCGCCATGGAAAGATCCACCATGCTACTATATAGGTAAAACCATCTATTTCGATTAGGGCCATCTATACCATGGCTATGTTAGTCATACCCAGAGGGTACATGGATGTACATGGTCTTGTTGCTTTTCAAGCATTTTGTTGTGTGGAAATGCGACTTTTTGCATATGACATGCCTTAAAATGACAGAGGCCGCAGAGCTGCCCGAAATTGCGACCTTTTTTTGAGCCCAGCAGCGCCGCAAGGCGTACAGCGTCCGCGCCGTTGTCAATACACCAAAAAAGCCACGGACTGCAGGTGGTCAATCCGCTTGGTATTTTTTTGTTTTTTTTTCAAACTCCTTCCAGATCTTCCCCTTCCAGATCTTGCAATGATCCATCATGGCTGTGTTTACGTTGATCCTGCCTTGTCTTTTCTTGACCGACTTTGCAAATTGCCCTTTGGATCCCTTTGGAATGGTTCACATAGTCATGATCGATTTAACAACAACGTCTCTAACGTCACATAACGTATGTGTGCAAGTGCAAGAGAAGACTGAAGACGTCTCTAACGTCGCATGACGTATGTGTGCAAGTGCCATTGAACGTTATTGCCCCACCCCACCCCACCCAACCCCACACAGTATAAGTCAAAGAACAGCATCACTACCGCCTGCAGCTTCGGTTTTCGGTGCCGTAGCTGCACAACATGCTTCAACTACAGCATACTACAGTAGTTCATGGGTTTATAAGCCAACTTTTACATAACTGGGGTAGTCTCACCTTGTAAGTCCTTGTCAGCGCTGATGGGCTTCCCCACAGTGACACGAATCGACTGGATGCGTTGAAGAGGCTGCTGGGACCTTCAGCACCTGCAGCTTCACAAACGTCAACAAATTGAGAGCATAGAATCGCAGAGTAATGGGGACCACATGACACATTGCCTTCAAAGAACAGTTTCGTTCATCTTGAACTGATAGAAATACAATGAAATACATCTATGAACATACTGAACATACAATACATGTATCAATGTGTATCATGTATCTATAATATCGACATGTCTACATCTACATTTTCCCTGAGATCCTCAGACACATACAACATCATACAACCCTTTTTTACCAACCCCCGCCATGCCGCGCCTGACATCAAACACTCGGCCTCACCATCCTGTCCCGAGCAACACTCAACTTGGTTCCATTAAAGTCCATTAAACATGAATCCCAAACCATGTGTGTTAATAAATTCATCAATATATATATATAATAGCATTCAGCATTACATATCATAATTTACTATGATATATCATGGCATGAAAACCATCATGGATTTTTCACCATGGGTCAAAAACCGCTGCCATGGCAGTTAAAAAACCTGAGGCATTGGCGTGAGACAAACCTCCGAAGCCATCAACTGCCCCCAGGGCCTTATCCAACATGATCCAACATGTACATCTGATCATATCTGATCATTTTCCGCAAAAAAAAAAGTGCAAAAAAAACGTTGAAACCATTGAAATGAATGAAATCAACCCAGCCAGCAGGCAATCTCAAATACTTAGAGGCTTCTGAAAGGATCCAACATGATGTGATACTGCAAGCAGCAATTCTGACTTTTCCAAACTAGACTCTGAAATCCTCAACATCCTGAAGCTGCACCAAGGGACAATCAGCCGACCCCATGCTTGTGATGCTTGCGGCACCGGTGCCGACTCGGCTGCTAGAATCAGCCCTGACCACCAAAAGCCGGCGAAACGACAGAATGGGCTCTGAAAATCTTCCAAAGTGACTGATTAGTGAGCATTGGAATAAACTGATGACTTTGGCAACTTGGGACCACATCTTTAAGTCTATCTTTCTGGTGGTGTCAAACCCTCTGTGAAATATGAGTTCGTCAGTTGGGATTATCATTTCCAATATGTGGAAAAATAAAACATGTTCCAAACCACCAACCAGCTTTCTTATTTTGGGACCATCGGAATCTCCAAAAACCAGTGAACTGTTCCATCGGGATTGTCAAGCACCCAACTTTTCACGGCCTGGCCCAAGGAGTTTCCTGAAGGAAAACATGTCCCAAGTCCATCGCCGATTGCTCCGGCGATCCGAAGAAAACTGATCCGGCGCCGTGGGAAACAACCGCAGCTAACTGCGGGCCCCGTAAGCGTTTTAAGTGACTTGGTTTTTTCGTGGATGCCAAGAAGTTCTCGCCGGTAACACGTGGATTGGTCAGTGGATTGGGAAAAATACCTGGATTCTCTTGGTTTTTTTTTGCTGCACCGGTGATGAGTTCAAGGTGCTTTGCGCTGGATTGTTGCGCCGTTTCGCCATGGTTCTGCCATTGTTTTACACCAAATTCGGTCCTCTGGAGCCAGAAAGGATACAATCCAGGTCAGGTTGAGCCCACATTCCTAAGTGCAGTGGCCCTGGCAGTGGCTGTTTTCCTTGAAAAGTGTCACAAGATGTCACTATCAAAATAGTTGGCTCCCAGACATGATTTTGATTGATTTTGGACCATAGGATTCCATGAGTCTTATTGATTGATATTGATTGTGCATATTGTTTCATGATCTTCCCAGCTTGTCATGACAAAAGTCATCCACCCCAATCCCAACGAACCGCAACCGAAGTTCCCAGATGCGCCTGCTGATTCTCTTTGGAATCGGCTTGGCCCTTTTGAAGGTACCTGGCTCCAATGGTTGCAACCTTGCTGAGTCTGTCTACTGGGGAGTATACTATACCCCACTTTTGTGGCAAGTTCAGTAGGAACATGTTGATACGACTTGTTGATTCACGTAGTGATATTCTATTTTCCAAAGAAAGTTGATTTCATCCGAGGGGTTTTCACCCCATGAATTCCAATGATCTCTGGCGCACTCCATGAACTCATGGATTTGCGCAATCTTTCCGCCAGCAGAGGACCTAGGTCGTGGCACCATCTGCGAGCTGGTCACCGATGTTTTTTTCGCCCGGCAGAAGCTCCCCCGCTCCGGCAGAAAGCGATGTCGAAGCTCGAAAAGCCTTCCGGGGCGCAACGAAACAGAACGAATCCTTACGCTGTTCAATGATTGTCAAGTGAAACCCTAATATTATCTAATATTAATATGTTTCAATGCCTACCGCTTGATCTGCTTGAGTTTTGGTTTCGTACTCCCCTGTTGCTTCTACCTCCTTTCGGAAGTCATGGGATGTCAATCAGATAGTGGGTGGACATCAAGGCAGATTTCCTAATCTATCTAAAGACAGGCTGGATCACTGGGATGCTGATGGGAGTTGCGCTCCTCATGGCGCTCCTTGAAAAAACTTGAGATAAGTTTGATGGGAAACGGATCTCAACCTGCGGGAGATGTTCTTACGATGATGAAGACTGCAAAAACACACACCTGGTTTTTGAGATGTGAGATCGCACAGCTTCTTAGCTTCAACTTCCATTTTTCTAAATCATAATAATTCACTAACCTAAGATTTACCCAGATTTTTTCCATAAGTTTTACAGCAAATCTGAGTGACCACTGAAACAAGGCGCGCACGTGCCTTTCCGTGAGCTCCAGGGTTTTCTCCTCCGAGACCACCTCATCCAAAGTCAATGTTATGCGTAGCCAAACACTCCATTTACCCAGAGAATTAAGGTATGTTGCCCTGCAATGTTACCCATCATTTTGGTATTCTTACATATTCTTACATATTCTTTCATATTCTTACATATTCTTACATTTTTTTAATGAATACGTTGAGTATCTTGGTTTTCACCTGTAAACTGTTATGATACATTGCAATGATATGCCAGGCATACGACATTATTATCTGGGATATTCTGCGAGATGTTGCAATGGGTCATTCCCCAGACCCCCTGAAAAATCGCCTTCAAGGTGTCACATGTTTTCCTTTTTGCAGAACACTTGAAGGTAGATGGCTATGGCCAAATATATAGTATATAGTAGTATATATAGTTATATATATAGTATTACTACAATATGAGTGCCATGGTCAAAATATCGTTTTTTGGCTATGGTCATCCATCCCACGAGAATCCAATCATGATAGCTTCATGGTAAACGTTTATACATAGCTATGGAAAATCACCAGTTTTATTGGGTAAATCAACTATTTTTATGGCCATGTTCAATAGCAAACTGTAACAAATTACCAGAGGGTAAATCATCATAGCATGGCACATGAAATAGAAATAGATCTTTAAAAACCATCATACAACCATCATTTTTATGGCACATATAACATCAAAATTGATCATCAGAACATCCCTCTTTATCAATGGACAAAAAATCGCATCCTCCAACAACAATTTTCCAAACGTGCTCAGCTCCGTGCAGCATTGCCAGGGATGTTGGCTACCTGAGACCGGGCTGGTGGATGACTTGTCAACAATTACTCTGCTAATTTGACATAGATCCTGGCAATGAAAACGAACCATGTCTAATGGAAACTAGTCTTCCAGCTCCTATCTGCTAGGGTCTAATGTTAATCTGCTGGAATCACTGGAGGCTAATTGTAATCCGACTGCATAGTTATTTTGTGGATTATAATCCAGGATGTCTAGAACTGATTTACAATTTTCTTTTTTGTATAGTCAATTTCTAGAAAAATCCACCTTGTTGGATCATTTATTGTCAACATGAGTTATTGTTGGTTATCAATATATAATAAACAAAAAATAGTGTGTTGATCCTATATAATTATATTATATATATATTATATCACTTGTTCAATTTATCATTTCCAGAAAGAAATCAGATAGTCAATGTTCTAGAGTCTAGCAAGATCCACCTTAGTTTAGATTATTTATTGGTGGATTATTTTTTTAAAAAAAAAAACTTCTCCAAGCGGCTGCATATCTCAAGGGTAGATTGGCCGCCGATGCCTGGCGACCGGGTAGATCCAGGGAAGCCCTGGGGCTTGTGGGCTATCTATTGTTATATTATCTAAGATCTAATATAAATATATCTAGATATGTATGACAATCATATATTTATAAATATGATATGATATAGATATATTACTGATACTGTATTATAAATATTGATCTTTTTTTCCTCTAGCCCATTGTGTCTGTCGACGCGGCTGTCAATGAATTCTTGCCACACTTACTTCGAAGTGTAGTCGGCACCCATCTGATCCGTTAATGTCGTTGCGGACATCAACTTACAGCGTGCCAAGAAGGCATGGCTTTCCGCCAGCTGAACATCTGTACACTGACGCTCAAACCAGGCAATGAATTCAACCGCGAGAGCTCGACTCATCGCGGGAGGGTACTCTTTGAGAAACCCCGTGGACCAAACTCCATTGAGCTTTCCGATGGATGAACGTCGAGGGAGATCTTTGGTGATGTGGTGTGCACGCAAAGTTCTCTGTAGGCCAGGCAAATTCAAGGATAACAGTCGAGTCAGTTTGGGACTGCTTGCTCCAAGTAGGCCTTGCGCAAATCTCAACTCAGCAAATCCAGGAAGAGCTCGAAATATGGTCAAAATTGGTAATTTCCAGATGGAGGGTTTGAAATCCTCCGCTGGCTCATCCGGGTGTTCAATGGCTCCAAAACCTTCTGAAAAATGAAGTCTCAGAATCAGGTCAAAGGCAAAAAATAGAAGATCATTTCCTATCATTACCTGAGCAAGTTCGCGGAGGCTCAATGATTCCATGCCCCACAAAGCGTCGGCAGAACGAATTGGTCTTGGGCCAGTGCCCTCGTCTGTCTGTGCGAATCTTGCTTGCGACCAGGATTCACATGGAGGCCCCGCAAGGAGTCCATGGACTCGGCCGGTGTCAGCCGCTTGTCTCCAGAAAGCTTTTGTGGCCGGTCGGGTGGCATCGCCCCATACTGCGTCTGTCATGAGGTCTAATGATACGACATGTAACAATGTCCCATCAGCAGATTGCTTCTGTAGCTCCTCCATGAAGACTTGTATGTCCCCCAATCTGCGTCTGCCACTGAAGGCATGTAACACAATTCTGTGCTTTCCAATGTCCCTCGGGACAGCATCTGTCGGTGGGACACCATGATCTGCAAACGCACGAAACTGCTCTTCCAAAACCTCCAGCGATGTCATGCCGTCTGATTGTGTAGCAACAAGTGTTTGTAAGAAGGGCCATTCTTCACTGTTACTGAGCATCCCCAGGCAGTGGTTGGCATGAGCAAGTGATACCTCACCCAAAGGTTCAGATTCCGTGGCGATGGTAGCCTGTAACTCCCTGAAGGTCACCAGGCAACGCGTCCAAGCAATGGGAAATGTGCCAACCAGCTTTCTCACGGTGGGTTCAAAGTCCAGTTCATCCTGAAGGTCAAATGCAGCTTCCACGATTGCATCATGCAAATCCCAATGCACCAGATTCAGATCTCTGTCACGTGGTCTGGGTTTTTGTGGGCCGGATGCTTGCAGTGGGGGCAGACGATTGTCGAGCCTCAAATGTCTCTCTTGATCTTCACTAGATCCCAGTCCAGGTACTGGGTGATGTCGAACATCGTGTGAGAGAAGATAAGCCCTGCATGATGCAGAACGAAGCAAGTGCATCTTCATCTTGCCATGCGTGAAGTGCTCTTTGAGGCATCCACCACATGGCGTGGAATTGAACAAAAATCGAACTGCATTCACAACTTGGTGGGTTCGGAACATGTGTGTTCCCTCGCCCCAAGCGAGCGAACACTCCTTTGGCATTTCATGCAACCGAAAGTATGTTCAGACGTTGGCTTCGGAAGGGTTTGTGCCTGTGTCAATGGTACAGGCCAGCAATCGTTGGTACTCAAAATTGTCTTCATGTCTGTGTAGAATTGTTGGCATCGGAAGCGCTTCTTGCGTTGCAGAATGGCATGACGGCAAGCTCTGCGCACAAGTCTTTTCCAATATTGTCTGTGAAATTGCATGACTTCAATCCACCTCTCTATGTGTGCACTCGGCTCCCCGAGATCACATGCATTTTCAAGCAGATGCCAGACCCAACGGAGGTCATCGTGAATCAGACTGATCCAGGCCTCGTCTTGATTCAGAAGCCCCCAGCATGCTGAGCCACCGACTTGTAGCAAGGTGGCGACATAACGGAGGCGTGCTCTTCGAAAGACCTCTGTGGGCGATGGCAAATCCAGCGTTGTCAGGAGCATGTCATCTGAAAGATGCTCATCAGGATCAACCTTCAAAAGTTTTCGATAGAGCCTGAGGATCGCAGCATGGATATATTCCTTAGATTTCCAGTCAGGCAACGTCCACGTTTCCATGGCATAGGACAGTTTGCTCATAACAAGACTGTTAAACATCTCAGTACGTTTAACAATGTCAATGTGAGGGTTATGGAAAACTAATTTGCGGTGACGATTGAAACTGGCATTGGCGATTGCAACACGTCTTTTGGCTTCCTGTTTGGTCTCTCCAGAGTGGTGCACAAGACTGCCCAAATGGAGATAGCTAGAAACAACTGGCACCTGGTATGTTTCTGCTTCTCCAACAATGGGAAAGAAACCCGTGGCTGTTGGTCCGTACAGTCGTTTGCGCCATGCGTTCGACTTCGGGCCTTTCGGGGTCATGAGGAGTTCCGTTTTGCCACGAGCAAGATTGGGACTCATGGCATGCTCACGAAATAAATCAAGCAAAACTCCGGTTGCGACTCCGATTTTGGTGGCAACTGCATCATTGGTGTTGCCCCGAAGGCATACGGCTAGGTCGTCCATCCAGACCGGTCCAACAAAAGGAATTGCAGCATGACCAGTGGGACAAGGCCGGCCAAAGAGTGCTGGTGTTTGTACATCTGGCACCGTGGACATAACATCATGCTTACAAAGCTGGGTCTGGAAGTTATGCAAGACGCGGGCCATCAAAAATCCAAACACTATGTCTGCATATGCATCTCCTGGTCTCGTACCCAGGTGTGTTTTGACCACATCCTTCTGATTGGGGACTCTGAAGAAAGTGTCTGTGTGCACCGCACGCAATGCTCGTTGGTCAAAGCATCTCATTCCTGCTGATTCGGTAGCTCCGGGCTGTTGTAAATGATGATACAAGGCATGCACAGTGTCGGTGGGCAAGTGCAGCTTCGCAGCCATGCACGCTAGGATTTCATCATCACACGTGCCGGAGAGTGCAAGAGGTCTGACAACAGTGTAGAAAGCAGCCTCTAAATCCACGAAAAGAATTGCTGTCGCATGGTGCAACGCGTGATGTGCCCTGAGGAACGCTTTCGTCAGGTGTGTCCCGAGGACTACGGGGACCTTCTTGCGCCCTCCAAGCTGTTGATGCTGGAGATACGACTCATACACAAGTGATTGTTTGGAACGCATTGTCTTGTGAAATGCTTTGCCGATATTGGAGGAAAGCAGTATCGAACGGAAAGCACTGCATACATCCTTCTGCTTTTTGCCCTTCCAAATCGGTAGGACTACGCCTCCTTTCAGATCGATGGGTTCATGACCTTGAATCAGTGATTTCATCATCAGGGTATAGACCTGTTTGGCTACCGGGCCTGGGAAGTACTTACAAAGCTCTGACGGAATTGCGTCTGGGCCGCTGGCCTTTCCGGCTTTCATCTTTCGCAAGGCAAATTCAAGCTCGCATAGCGATGGCAAAGAGTCAACAGGGAAAGCGAAATCTGTGGCCGACATCAGCGACAATTGTCGTTGTGCATCAATGCGAACTCCACCTTCTAACCCTGCAAAATAGTCAGCCCAACGATTCACAGTGTCATCATGTGTCATCGGCTTTGTGACACCAGTTGCCCTGTTGATCTTTGATGGCTGGTAAGGGTGGCATACCTTGACGCAGCTTGTTGGAAGGGCCAGTGAAAGGTCGGAGAATCTGCTGGATTCTTCCTGCAGGTGTTTCAGGTTCAAAAGCTGTTGTTTGGCAGTTTTCAAACAATCGCGTAGCTTTCTGGCTTCTGTGAGAAATCGCACTGAAAGTTTAACAGCAAAACATCTTAATGATGTGCCATAGTTGAATGAAAGATCAAGGCAATTGCTGTCCGAGTCAACCTCGTGATGGTCGGCCTGACTTTTGTGCAGCTTCCATGCGACAAAGATTCTGACACTCGTTTCTCTGGCTAACAAACGTCTGTGCTCTTTGAGCTGCTTTTTGCTCTGGAGTTTTGCCGTGCGCAAAGCCCAAATCTCTGGTGAGACGTACGGTTTCTTGGCCGCAGTTCGAGGTTTCGGGCAATGTGTTGTCAAGCAGTTGAGGAAATGATCTCGCAGCTTATTGAAATGCTCATCAACACTGTCACTGAGGACCAATCCGGAACTGCATGCTGTGAAAGGGGTCACTACTCAGGTTCGCACAAGCAATGCTTTGTCGATCAAAACGCAGGGACTTCTGGGTCGATGGCGGACGTGCGGCACTAATCGTTTTATCCCAGGTCAATTCCAGTGCAATCGGTGTGTGATCCAGCACTGTGTTGCCAAGATCGAATTGCTCCAAAAGTTGAGAGTGTGCCGCAGCCTCGAACAGGATTGATGGCACAAGGACGTAATCAATGACGTGTCCGGAAAGACCATCTGGGGAGTGCCATGTGGCTGTGTCTCCAACATGTTTGTGTGACGTGGCAGGTGCACACAGGTCAAAGTGATCCATGAAGTCCCGCAAAAGACTTGTCCCTGAGGCAGAAGCAAAACCTTTAGTGAATACCCGTCTGCCATCACATGCTCCAGGAGGGGCATTCGCATCCAAACACACAAAAACAGGTTCCTCTGGTTTGATTGTCTCTTCAAGGAGTGACTGTGTAGTCTGCCACCAATCAAGTCTTTCTTGCATGGGTCTTCCGCTCTGTGGGGCGTGAGCGACAAGAACCCAAAATGTGAGATGAGGGGAGGCAATACTCACAAGGATGCGTCTAGCGAGTCTAGCGTCCTGATACGCAACGTTGAAATGCGATTTCTCAAGGAAAATAGGTTTCTTTGCAAAATAGCCAATTGGACATTGCAAGTTACACCAGAGTTCAACGCCAAAAGTGCCCCTGTCATGTCCTGAACTTAATCTGAGAATGCCATCAATGTGGGTTGCTCCATTGTCGGCTCTGGTTTCTTGTAGGCCGAGGAAATTCAGGTTCAGGTCTGCAAATTGCTTTCGCAAATACTCAGTTTTGCCCGCGTGTCCCTGAGTTGGTCTCCCTAGAGAAAGCACGTTTGGTGATGCGAAACTTAAAGCAAAGTGAATGTGCAAAGCACCAGATGCCTGGGGTGGAGGGTCCTCAGGGGGCGTTGGCATGACGGGCAACTTTGGTGGTGGAACATGAAAGCCTGTGCCACAAAAATCAGGTGCCCCTGCATGACGTGCAAATAAGAGCCATAAATGCGGCAAAAGCTTCTTCCACTTCAAAAGATCGATGGAGGGACGCATCAGATAGTAGCTGGAAACCGCATCAGTCTTCGCAACATGATCGACAAATTCGTTCCACGGGTCACCCAAGTGTCCGAAGACGTGTGAAATTTGCAGTGCTTGTTGGCCTAAGGCGGATTCTAACAGTTGATAGCACCCTCGCAAAAGCTGAAACGATTGGTCACAATTGGCAGAGCCGATGGTGCCTTCAGCCTGTCCTTTGGACGTCAACGAGTCAGTTCTAAATGTTGTTGGAATGGTGCTATTCAGCAAGATGCGCCAGATGAAGGCCCATGTGAGTGCTTCTCTTTCCGCTATAAGCGGGTTGGCTGCTGTGGCACCGAGATGGAACGGATTGATTTCATCATATCGTACCTGATGCGCCATCCATCCCAGCATGGTCAAACGAGACTTGCCATTGGGTTGATATTTCTCGCCAATGACGAGGAAAGCCCAGGCATCGGGTATGGCACATGCTTCGATGTAGGCCGTGGACCTGTGTAGTCTGCCCGAGTGAGACGAGCCATCCGTGTGAATGATCAATCGATCAAATTCATGGTCTGTCACAAGGTTGTTGCACGCCTCAATCGAGCAGTCAGGCAATCCCAAACCATCAACAATCTGGCAGAGCGGCCATGAGGAACTTACAAACAGGTCATCTAGGTCGCCTGGCTGTATACCAAAGTCAAGCAAGCATTTTGAAAAGCCTGGCACTTGGTCAATGTACATTTGGTTGATGGTGATGCAAAGGCTGTGGTGCCGGCCAAGGTTTTTGGGTTCGGGGTGCATCAGTTATCTCTGCAAAATACCCTCCCGGCTCTTGAAAGTGAATTTCAATGAAATCTGATTGATGGCATCTGTGATCCGTGATGACTGCTTTTTCAAACCCTAGGCCATAGAGAGCTCTCATGCAAGAAATCTGGTCTGTCGCCTCTTGTCGTGCGAGCGATCGAATGAAATACCTACTGTCACTTGGAGCAGCAAGGTTAACAAATAAAACCGAAGCACTATGCAATGAGGCTCTGGTGCGGCAGAATGCAGCCGTCTGGTGATCAACAATAAAAGCCTGGACATGATGACCAAAAGCCCTAAGTTCATGCTGAACAGTGTGCGCTGTGGCCGGTCCTACAATTTCTACGATCGATGGAAACGGTCCAACTTCATCCGGTTCAGTAAGGATCCGGAGCGCTTGCTCTGAAAAGGGCGTCCAAGTCGTCACAGGAACTTCCGTCGTTGATGCCACAGGTGAGTGAGCCGGCACTGCCTGAAGTCTAGTTTGAAACAAAGCATTGTCTTCCTCCTCATCCAGAGCATCGTCCCATTGTGGTTGGAAAGGTCTGTAAATGAGCAGGTTGAAATTGTGGCCATGCATTGCTTCAAAAACCGTGCTATCTCGAATCTCAAAACTGCCATGCCATGTTGTGATGACTGCACCATGCATCGTTGGTCGGCCAACCACTCGAACAATGTCTTGACGATTCAGTGTCCGTGGAAGGCATGCCGCAGCTGAGAAAGGTGCTCCTTGACGAGCGCTGTTGTCAAAAGAAGTCACTATGCTGCCAATGTTATCTTCGTGAAAATTCTGCATGAGGAGGATGTGCACTCTACAAAGCGGGCTGTCGGCCGGTATAGGATTTACGAATGCAAACTCAAAATCTAAACTGGCATCTGCAAGATCGGCCCAAAGTTCATGTTATTGGCGCTCCCCTCAAAGAAATCATCACCCAGGAGTGCAAGTCTGGAGGCATCATTGTAAGGGACGTACTGTGCATCCAGATACCAGGTGGTGACTTCAAGGATGTTTTCAAGTCCGGCTGTGCCTCTGACAGATTGACTGATCCAAACTGCATGCAATTCACGAATGAATGGTCTGTGGTCTTCAAAAATCAACAGGTGTCCTGAGGAGCGAGAAAGAGGGCTCCTGGGTGGTGTTGGAACTACCCACTTGATGTAAACCGGAACTCCCTGAGTGATCTTGTCTCGCCACAAATGTTGGATGTCGTGTTGCCAAAGATTCATGTGTGAGTCCAAACGTAGGTCAAGAGACACTTCAGTAGCAGAAACTGTGCGGCAATCAGCAAACCATGTGTCAAAGTATGCTACAGGACCCTCATCCTCATTCTCAATGGCAGTTGTGTCCCAAAAGGCCGTGCTAAGGGCTCTAAACCAGTGTGGCCACGGCCTTAGATTCTCAATGTCAATTGCGAGAAGGCATGAATCATTCACGATTGCCGCAACCTGGTCAGACAGGTTCACAGAGGGTGCCGCTTGCGAGGAAGAGGCTGGCTCCGTGGAACTCTGCTGCATGAAGCTTGATGCATCTGAAAGCACTTGCAATTGAGATAGGTCATCCTCATCCTCAGAGTCATGCGGCCCGAATTCCCTTTTGATATCCTCTGAATCAATGAGACTAGGTGAAACATTGACAGAGGATTCTTCCGACTCTTCATCCGGGCTTGTTGGCACATAATATTCTCCCCAAGTCTTCAGTTGAAATGCGTTGACTGTCGTTCAACATGACCTGGGTGTCTGTGGAGCATTTCTCTGGAGGAGGGACGATCAGCTTCAAATAATCACCGTTCGTGACAACGATTGGTGCATGCTGTTGCGCAAACCATCTCTGATGGTTGTACTCTACCATCCTACAAAACTCAAACGTGTTGGTGATTCTGAGGAAGGCTTCTCTAGTCAATTGAACAGGCATTGGGATGACATGTCTATGGAATGCAGGCACTGTGTGAAAATGCTGTTCCTCAGTGTTTCCATGCACTTCAACATCAACCAGTGTCAAAACGAAATTCGCTCCCTGAGGAAAGTCATTAACGAGATGCACAATCAAAGGAGCAGAACGCAGCACCGGACCCACCAGCTCAGAGCGCACTCACAACTCCATCTCAAGAATGGAATCCTTCTGGCAAGGATGAAAAGGCCGATGAAAAATACGATGGCCGCGACCTTACATGCCTGTGGGCCAGGTGAGAGGGCATCTCCTTCGACCTCTGCAGCTCTGGGGCCTTGTTAGGTCCGCCCTCAGGTCCTTCAGCTGGTGGCTTATATGGCGGCGGTGCCGCCGCGGTGCCAATTTCCTCCTGCAGGAAGCGCGTCAGGAGAGACGCGCCGCAGCCTCCAGGCGCCTGCCAGTCCATGGCAGTTGGCATCCTTCCCAGGATGCCAAAAAAATACCTTTGGGTCAACCTACCCTTGAGCCAAAATGGCTACGGATTATTGATCATATATATATATATATATATTCTTATATATATATAATAATAATATATTATATATTATAATCTATAATATAATTGTGTTAATAGTAATGTATCGAATATATTCAAATATACGTTCTTATTGTTGGTGTTCTCAATATTACTACATTTTGAGGTAT